AAAAAATGTTTTTACTTTTAATTTTTTTGGATGGATGGATGGATATATCCATGGATATCCATTAGATATAATGGAAATCCATTAGATATAATGGATGGATTTGAATCCATCCATTATCAACACTATTCATTAGATTATATCCATTAGCTCTAATGGATGGATTTAGATAGATTTAACTTGGATGGATTTTGGATCGACCGTGGATTGTGGATAATTTTACCACCCCTAGATATTGAACATTTATTGTTTGGATTTGAAGTAGAATGTCGAATGAAAAAAAAACTATATATGCGTTTTATTGTCGATCTAAAGAGAAATGAACCAAACTAACCTATAATTAAATAGGAATACTTTGATGACATTAATTAATGTTTGTGGTAAACTTTAACCATATAATTCACATTGTTTATTATTAATGATAGGAACATAAACTTATGTAACATTTTAACTAATTATCTAAGAATTATTTTTCAAACTGCCTTCTCTATTTTTCATGGGCATTTTTATCAACCGATTTGTAGTTTATACTACTACCATTTATATGTCTCATTACCTGATAACTATAACAAATTACTAAGACGTTTAAATAATTAAAAAAATAACTTCTAAAGTTTAAAATTTCATGCCAAATTGTTGGTAATTGTATAACTATAAAGTTCCTCACAAAAAAAATGCTATTCAGTTAAATTTTGTATTTTATGCTTTTCTCATCTACTATGTAATCCCTTACTTCACTTGCATGTAGGTTGTTCCATGTCATATTTTGCTATGTAATTATTTTGGTATGTAATTATTTTTATCACTATTTTGGTATGTAATTATTTTGATCATTATATTGAAATTTTCCCCCAAATATGTTAATTAAATTTGACATTCAATCTTTTTTACTCTTATCATATTATTGCATGGACATAAAATAAATTTTTATAATATACAAGCCTTTTATAGTTAGTATTACACTCTACTAGTTATTCCACACTTTTTTATATTCGGTTATGAAATTAACAAATCTCAAGGTCAATCATTGAAAAATATTGCTGAATTATACTTACCTATACTAAAGTAATATATATATTTTCTCACCGTCTATTTTTTTTTTGTATATAATTTTTATCACATTTAAGATACTCTAATCCATGAAAGAGAATCAATTTGTATTTAGGCAACAATATACATAGACAATCACTTCAAACACATGACTTTATGATATTTAACATAAACAATTTCATATATTTAAAACAATTTACATCAATCCAAATGGTTCTATCACATTTAATATACAACTCTCTAAGGTATAAACAATTAGGCAAAAGAATAATTAAGTTAACCCAATTAAGAGTGTTGAATTGCAGTTTAGAGGGAAATTTGAGTCTGACATTAAGCCGGAAGAACTTCCGTATTAGGTCTAATCGGTTTAAACAGTTAAGTCGTTCAGTTGAACCGGATGATTTAAAATATAAATAATAATTTTTATCTATAAATAAATAATTATATAAATGTAAAATTTTATATAATTAATAATTGTATATGACTATATTGAAGTAACACCACTTTATCTTTTCTGGACCGAAATAAAACAAAACATTAGAGTAATGTTCCATTTTTTAAAATTTTAAGTGAACCGTCTGGTATTTTCCCCGGGTTAATCCGATTTAACCGGGTTTAGCACGGTCGAACCGAAATTTCTCCGATTCAAAGCGGTCTAACTACTCATTCAATTAAAACTACAAAACGGAGCCGTTTTCAAGTCCGGTCAGCAATCGAACCGTCCGATCCGGTTATCACAACACTCCACTAGACACCTTGAGTTATGATTTAGAATTTAATTTAAAGTGTAGAAATTAAATTTTACATCCCCAAATCGACCTGTATGTCCCATGATCTTGTTTGGAATATGTAATTTTGATTCCAAATTAGAGTTTGGATCCTCTCCTGTAATGGAGAGGCCAGTGGTGGCATAGGATTATTACATGTGGCGAAATCAATTTTTAACGGTTGAAATAAAATTATATATTTTTAAATAAATTAATTTAGGAAAAATGACAATCATGTCCATTTTCTCTCTTTTATCTCATCCCTCAACCAATACAAGCTATTTCATGGCTTTATGAGAAGAAGAAAATGTCACTCCACAGACTGATTTTACGGGCATGAGAATCAGAAAACGTTCTTACCCCATGACTCTTTTTTATGCCTCCACAAATAAAGATATTAGCTTCATCTTTTTCTTGTCAACTCTAAACTGATTTTCCTCACTTTGCTCTGTCACTCATTATGGTAGATTATGTGTTGAAGAGGAAGAAAAAAGAAAATGATTTTTGATTTTTTCCTTCTCATGGAGCCATGGAGTCGTGAGAAGATTGATGAAGAATGGATCTATGGCAACCATTCACTTTCTTCTCTTACATCCTCACATTCTCAAAGAGGAAAAAAACTTCTACAGAGACTGATGGGAATGAGAGAGAGAAAGAGAAGAAAAAAAGGACATAAATGTCATTCATCCTAAATTAATTTATTAAAAATATATATTATTTTATAATTTAAAATCTCAACCGTTAAAAATTGATTTCGCCACATGTCATAATCCTATTCCACCACTGACCTCTCCATTACAGGAGAGGATCTAAACTCTCCAAATTATAGCTTAAGTATCACTTGTTTTATTATATAAAAATTCATTTTCTTTTTATGTTTTTTTGTTTATACACCGGACTCGAAATATATTTATGATAAAAGTCAAATATTCAAACTCATCTGGGATGAAATTATATAAATAAATTAAATAATCAATGATATTTTTAGTCAAAATTATGAAATTTATCTAGACTCGAAATATATTTATGAAAAAAGTCAAATATTCAAACATCTCGGATAAAATTACATAAATAAATTAAGTAGTCAACAATATCTTTTTTGGGCAAAATTATCAAATTTATTCAAAATCCATTTTGTTAATCAAAATTCACACACAACATACTTAAAATTGCATGCTAGAAATTCACTATCTCTGTGGAGTATGGCCCCCGACATCTCCACATTGATGATGTAAGTAGATTGTAATAATTTATTTGGACAAATTGGTCCCATTTAGTAACACTTATTCACTTGTATAGAAACAAAAAAAAACTATAATTACATTCTTGTGCAATAAATGTAATAAATAAAAATAAAATAAAACAGTATCCACATTTTATTTTTACTTGTCACCAACTACTTCGTTTCTGTTTCAAAAGGTGACATCGCACCCAGCTACCAACGACGTTCCATACGCATCAAACCCCATACGTGGCATAATATTAACCGTCCGATTCGTCACCATAATCGAACGATCATCATTTTTTCTCCACCAACCCCATCATCGTGCATCGTGCATCGCTTCCATCCCTTATTCTCACCTACCTACCAAATACGAACGCATGCGATTTCAAATGGCCCCAACACTTTCCATTATATAATCCCTTCTTCTCTCTCCCTCCACCCTCAGGAAAATCCATAACGCTCTTAGAGTTTTTCCTAACTTCAATTCATTCTTCTTCTCTCATTCCCTTCCTCTCAGCTACAACTTCTTCACTATTGTATTCTGGTGTAATAATTCAACATTTGTTATTATTACTATAAATGGAGGCTATCAACCACAGTAATGGTTACGTTGCAAGCAAAGATAATTCCACCTTCTGCTTGAGTAATACTAATGGGAGGGTTGTGGTTAGTGACCCACTGAACTGGGGTGTTGCTGCTGAATCACTCAAGGGGAGCCATTTGGATGAGGTGAAGCGTATGGTGGCGGAGTACCGGAAGCCAGTGGTCCGTCTAGGCGGAGAAACGCTTACGATATCTCAGGTGGCTGCCATCGCCGCCCATGACCAAGGGGTGAAGGTGGAGCTGTCGGAGTCAGCTAGGGCTGGTGTTAAGGCTAGCAGTGACTGGGTTATGGATAGCATGAATAAAGGCACTGATAGCTATGGTGTCACCACTGGGTTCGGTGCTACCTCTCACCGGAGAACCAAACAGGGCGGTGCTTTGCAGAAAGAGCTCATTAGGTAACGTACTAACTTTGCGGCATACATGTAACTACGTATTATTTACTGTTGTTGCACTTCATGAATTTAGTATCCACGTGTTTTCTTTTCAACTTTTCATGCCCGAACCATACTAATTAATTGAGGATAAATTAGAAAATTATAAGTGAAGAAATTACTATTTTGGTTGTGGTTTTTTATCATAAAGTGTCAAAAATAATTGAAATGTGGGATCAGCTGTCTCACTTTTAATATTTCATTATGTCTCAATACAATTGAAAGTTATCATTTAATTAAAAAAATTATATTATTTGGTGAGATATGATTATTTGAGACATAAATATATGAAATTTTAGGGACAAAGGATCCTGGTTAATTTATGGGTCCCTAATTATAGTCATAAACTAGTAATGATTGGATTAGTTTACATAAAAGAAATGTTCTATTTCTTAAAAGTGAAAAAGGAGAATTACATACCTTATAACCTATAAAGTGTTCGGATAATTTATGGTTACACAATTTTTTTTGCTGGTAAACACTTGTAAGAAAGAAGTAAGGAAAACCTTTTTTTCAAATATCTTAAAAGGACATTTTTGAAAATATAGATATTGTATTTTGACGTGCTTATAATGATATTAATATTGCATAATTTCAAAATCAATAATGTTTTCTCTACGCCTTTGAACCAAAGTTTCAAAAATGACAAAACTTAGATAAACTAACATAAGTGTTAGTGATACATGATCTATTAGATGATGATACATATACATTTTTGTTTACTTTTAAAGAAATGACATTTATTAGATTTACAATATAAATAAAAAAGATGTGTCTAATAATCGTCACATGTACCTAAAGTTTTGTTCTTTCAAAAATCGATTAGCGGGAACATTGATTACTTGTTGGTTGCTTACAAGTAATTTGGTTGGAAAAGTAAAATATTAAGAACCGATATTTTTGGTTTTCTTAAAAACATTACTCATATTCCCTTAATGGCAAAACCTTAATATATTAAGATTAAAGAAGTCCAAATAAATATCTGTTGTTTGTTACCTAGCTTTGTACATAACTACCCCCATTGAAGTTTTAGAAAAAACAATTATTTTCTATTATTCGTAGATCATCATAATTAAGAAAATATTTAGAGCGAGAAACTGCTTACCTTGAAACAAAATTTTGCAGTATTTTTTTCCATATTAAATTATAAGTGTTGGTTTCGTTACAGTTGGAAAAAAAAATTTATGAGTAATATATAATTATAAATCAACGAATTTAAGTTAAAATTTTCAACCAAAATAAACTTTTTTTCTCTCTATATATAATTACTATTATAAATAAAATTACAATTTTATCATGTTTTATTTACTCTTAGTAAGGAATTTACATTATTAATTTACATCCTATTCTTATGATAATTTATTATTATCACTAATAATAAATTTTATAGGTAAAACTTTTAAAATTGTATTTTATATTTATGTAGATTTATATTAGTATTAATGTATAATAATAATTTTATTTCACTAAGACAAATGTGGGTTCTATCAGAAAGCTAGTAGCCTAGTAGGCCATAATGAAAACCTGACTTTCTTATATTCATTTGGTAAAAATAAAAGCGTGGTTTCATTGGTTTCAAGAATGGTAAAAATAAATTGGCAAAACTATAGTGATCCCTAACCTAATAATATTGTCTGCCTTATTTATTTATAAATGATACTTTCATAATTTTCTAATTATTTTAAACTTTAAATAAATATGAGATTAATTATTCTAAACAAGCTGATAAAAAAAAAATTTATTCTGAACAAACCGATATTGAAATTATCGGTTAATAATAAGATCTACATACATATATATATATATATATATGTATATTACCTAATGGAGTCAAGCCTTTTGAGAATAGTTTTGTGAAGATATTAAAAAGTGAAGGAGTTGATCGTGTAACACGAGAAATAATAATCTAATGTTATACAAAGGTTGTGAGTAGAAACATGTCCACGTCCATTGCCAGCCTTGCCACATGTATCTGGGCTCGTATTGTGTCGGAAGTAACGGTCTAGTGGTGGGTTAATGAATTTCTATATGCGGGTCTAAAATTATTAAATTATAATTAATGTTTTTGCATGTTTTTGAAGAGTATAAAACTCATAAATGTCAAAATATATATATATTTTCATAAAAGTAAGGACAAAAATTAAATATCGTTTATTTGTTAATGAATAGTCAATAGTATAGTAAATTACATTCACACCCCCTGAGTTTTAGTAAAATTACACAAACCACCCCTCACTTTTTTGTCCTTACACGAACCACCCCTCTAGGAATGGCAACGGGCGGGTCGGGGTCGGGGTCGGGTTTGTGCTTACCCAACCCCGAACCCGAAATTCAAAACCCGAACCTGAATTAAGCGGGGTTAGAAATAACAATATCATTCCCGAACCCGAAAAAACCCGAACCAAAACATATATTTTGATATATATATGTATATGTATATGAAATTTATATATATATATATATATATATATATATATATATATATATATGTGTGTGAGAAATTTATATATATATAGCTTTTATATATGTATTTATGTGTAATTTTATAATTTTATATATATTAATCGGGTTCGGGGTAGGGTATTAACAATACCGAACCCGAAATTTGAGCCCGGGTAAAACCCGAACCCGAACCCAATCACATCGGGTTTTCCCCGTTAAATTCGGGTTGGGTTCGGGAGGGTACCCGCTGGTTCGGTTTTCATTGCCATCCCTACACCCCTCACTTTTTTGTCCTTACACGAACCAGCCCTAATTTTGTACATATGTTACACTGACCACCCCTGCATGATATAAAAATGTAATATTTTAAACAAAAAACGTATGATGTGTGTAATTAATTAAACAAAATATTGTATATTGTGTAGACAATAATTAATTAAACAAACGTATGTTGCTAGTTAGTATAAGATCCCGCTAAATGTCTAATATGACTAAAATTTCAAATGTTTAATTAATGAGAGCAATTGAGATGTACAACTGAGAAAAAAATTATTTTCTTACCTAAAATGTGTAGGAATGCTTCAGTAGTAATAAAAAAAAGAACACATAGTGCATTACTTAATCAAATATTCACTATTTAAACTATTATATCATGAATATTAGAAATATTAAAAGTTACGTCATAGATATTTAAAAGCAAAATTGAAAATATATAATACGTATTTGTTGATATTTTAAAATAAACAAAACTAGATTCTCCTTAATTTAGAAGGAAGGGAGTAGGTTTGGTTGTAAGGCACGCGGTATGGTAGGTAAGTAACCCTTGACTGCTTACATTCTTTCATTCTAAGTTTCTAACTATCCCAGTCTTAGCTCAGCATCTTTGACCATGTGGTTGTTCATTTTTTTCTAATTTCATTAAAACTTGACGGCTTTTAAATAATTCGTTCCCTAACTATGTATTATATGATATCAAATTGACTAATAGTAATTTCAAACGATTTGGTTCATCCATATAACCATGTTATCAATACGGTTTCAGTTATCAAACCGGTTTGGGGATTGGTATAGTGGTTCAACAAATGTTCAGTAATTAAACCGTATATCGGTGAAGTTAGATATACATATATATTAACATAAATATTGAAAAATAAATAAAAAGAATATTTTTATTTTTATTTTTATTAAAAATTAATTTTAAATAAAAATTGGACGATATAACCTGTACGATTCAATTGAAAATCGGTCAGTATGACTAATGTTGACCGATATGATTACATAATCGATATAATTGTTATACCATACTGATATCAAGACTGATTTACCAGTTGAACCGGCTAGTACAAACCAATTTTAATATACTGCATATAACTATAAGGGATCCAATTAAAGGACTAAGGTTTGGTTGTCATTTTGGTCCAAATATCTATAAGTGATCCTAGTTAGTGGGACTAATGTTTTGTTGTTATTTTGGTGGATGTGGTTCCAGGTTTTTGAATGCTGGAATATTTGGCAATGGGACAGAGTCCAATTGCACCCTACCACACACAGCAACAAGAGCAGCAATGCTAGTGAGAATTAACACACTTCTCCAAGGGTACTCAGGTATTAGATTTGAAATCTTGGAAGCAATAACAAAGCTCCTTAACAACAACATCACCCCATGCTTGCCACTTAGGGGAACAATTACAGCTTCAGGTGACCTTGTACCCCTTTCCTACATTGCTGGGTTGCTAACTGGAAGACACAATTCCAAGGCTATGGGTCCCACAGGAAAGATCCTTAATGCCAAAGAAGCTTTTGAGTTGGCAAACATTGGTCATGAGTTCTTTGAGTTGCAACCCAAAGAGGGACTTGCCCTTGTGAATGGCACTGCTGTTGGTTCTGGCTTAGCTTCAATTGTTTTGTTTGATGCAAATGTATTAGCTGTTTTGGCTGAACTTATTTCAGCAATTTTTGCTGAAGTGATGCAAGGGAAGCCTGAATTCACGGACCATTTGACTCATAAGTTGAAACACCACCCTGGTCAAATTGAAGCTGCAGCTATTATGGAACATATTTTGGATGGAAGCTCTTATGTGAAGGCTGCTAAGAAGTTGCATGAGACAGATCCACTTCAAAAGCCGAAACAAGATCGTTACGCACTTAGAACTTCACCTCAATGGTTAGGTCCTTTGATTGAAGTGATCAGGTTTTCAACCAAGTCAATAGAGAGGGAGATAAACTCGGTCAATGACAACCCTTTGATTGATGTTTCAAGGAACAAGGCCTTGCATGGTGGTAATTTCCAAGGTACTCCTATTGGAGTATCTATGGATAACACACGTTTAGCTCTCGCGTCAATTGGGAAACTCTTGTTTGCTCAATTCTCTGAGCTTGTCAATGATTTTTACAACAATGGTTTGCCTTCAAATCTCTCTGCTAGTAGAAACCCCAGCTTGGATTATGGTTTCAAGGGAGCTGAAATTGCAATGGCATCTTATTGTTCTGAGCTTCAATATCTTGCGAACCCGGTCACAACCCATGTCCAAAGTGCTGAGCAGCACAACCAAGATGTGAACTCTCTTGGTTTGATTTCATCTAGAAAGACTAATGAATCTATTGAGATCTTGAAGCTCATGTCTTCCACTTTCTTAATCGCGCTTTGTCAAGCAATTGATTTAAGGCATTTGGAGGAGAATTTGAAGAACACTGTCAAGAACACTGTAAGCCAAGTTGCTAAGAGGACTCTTACTACAGGTGTCAATGGAGAACTTCATCCTTCAAGATTCTGTGAGAAAGATTTGTTGAAAGTTGTTGATAGGGAGTACTTATATACCTACATTGATGACCCTTGCAGTGGTACATACCCATTGATGCAAAAACTAAGGCAAGTGTTTGTGGATCATGCATTAGGAAATGCTGAAAGTGAGAAAAACTTGAACACATCAATCTTTCAAAAGATTGCTGCATTTGAGAATGAGTTTAAGGCTATTTTGCCAAAGGAGGTTGAAAGTACATGGGTTGCCTATGAGAATGGCCAATCTGTAATTCCAAACAAGATCAAGGAATGCAGGTCTTACCCATTGTACAAGTTTGTGAGAGAGGAATTGGGTACTGGGTTGCTGACTGGGGAAAAGTTAGTGTCACCAGGTGAAGAGTGTGACAAACTTTTCACAGCAATATGCCAAGGCAAAATTATTGACCCTATTCTTGAATGCCTTGGGGAGTGGAATGGTGCTCCTCTTCCAATTTGTTAGCCAATTACTTTGTCAAATGGTTTCTTTGTATCCTTGTATTTGTATTGATATCAGTATTTGGTTTGTCTCTTAAGCTAAGGCAAATCATTATAGGTTTCACAGTCCTTGAAGTCATGGAACATAAATTTGATATGTAATAGAAACCCATTTGTTTGCCACAAATAGTTATGGATAATAATATAATATGAGAGGTTTTCAAAATTACAAACAATTATAGATAGATAACAGTGCATGATAAGTATGATATGATTGTGTAGCCTAATAGTTGTGACCATTGGTTGCCTTGGTTCAAGTTTGATACCTACTTATGACATGTTTTTGCTTCTTATAACCAAATATTTTAACATACTGAAAAATTAAAATGAAGGTCATTGAGAAAATTCAAACCCCAGGCCTATCCAGGCAAAGGACTCACCAAGCAATATGAGTAGACCTATAAATAGAGTCATCTTCATATGATGAAGAATACTAAAAATTCCAGAATCTCACTCCATTCTTTAACTCCAAATTATCCCTTTTCTCACTTGTGCATAGAAAGAGTTAAGGAGACTATTAATATGTAAAGTATCATATTCATTAAGCTTGGTTTAGGCTGAGAAAACCAAACTCGAGTTCTATATTGTACCTTGAATGAGATTTATTGGTACATATATTGCATCCAATTTGCAAAAGAGATTGGTGGTGGGGGCGATTAGAACCTAAAACCTAGTGTTCTAAAGTCCTTTTAGATTGTGCATTAGTTTGGTTTGGTTATATTTATTCTTTATTGTATGCTAAACCCCTAAAGTTTCTTCAAATTTCTATTACAATAGTTGTGAAAAATGATTTCAGTTGAGAGTAATTGCCCAATCAAGAGAATATTTGATACATATTAATGCAAATTCACACAAATATCTCAGATATGACATAAATATAATGGACATAAATGTTAAGCAAGTATTTGAAGCAACTAACAAAACATGCATCCTGAGTTGGTAATAAACTTAATCTACATATACCATTTGCATGATACTTTCTTATAAAAACATTTATCCTCAACAAGAGGTTTGGTAAAGGAATGAGGATCAACTATCCCCAAATTGTGTTCTCAACCCTGTTCTATCCAAACGGATTCTGACATTTATTATAAAAAATTAAGTAATAGGAAGCTAAGTTTAAATTCCATGTTATTTTATATTATGTTTCCAAATCTGATTGGCTGAGAGATGATTGATGACACAATTGATGACAGTTGATTTTCATCCTTGGTAAAGATGTCTACACATTGATAGTCTCTACTATGAACTTGATAATAATTGTCCCTTTTTGACCCGATCTATAGTAAAATGATGTTTGAACTTGACATGCTTGAATGCAATAATGGATTCTTTGATAAATCGATTATTAATCCGGTGGAGGACGCGAAGTATGCTTTTTGCTCTCAGGCTATTGAGTCAGTTGACAACCTTTCTGTTGCTAGTTCGTTTGCAGCCAACATCTGGAATGGGTTTTACTCGTGGATTGGTCATAGTATAATGCTCCCTAATAACTATAAGGATTTATTCAAGCTCCACTTGAGCCTTTGTAGGAATGTGAAAGGGGAGGACTTGTGGTGTATGTTGTGGTTTGCTACTCTTTGGTTTCTTTGGATGACGAGGAACAATGTTATTTTCAGCGGCATGGAGTTGAGTTATATTCAGACGTTAGATTTAATTCAGATTATGTTGGAACTTGTGTTATAGTGAAATTGAAAAAAACTCACAAGTCCTACAGTGAAAGAATTTGGAAAAATTCACAAGTTCCACATTGTAAGATTTTGAAAAAAATCTCAGAAGTCCCATATTGTAGGATGCAAGAGTTGTGACAAAATCTCATTCTATAAATAGAAGTTTTCTCCCTTCATATTTTCTTGCACCAAGCAAGTTGAGTACGTTTTTATTCAACTTTTTCTTTTTCCCTCATAATTTCCGCCGATGTATTTCCGGCAAACTTCTCTCCCTTTCTTTCCGTGGTACTAAGAATTAGCACAAGCAGACATATTGTGGGAAATTCGAAAACTGACATTGATAGTCAGATTGTGGGAAAGAATTGGCACTGGTAGTCAAAGTGCGGAAATTTTGAGAACTGACACTGGTAGTCAAATTGTGGGAATAGAATTAGC